GTAGTCTTCTTTGGCACTTAAATTATTTAAAATAATAGCATTAAAATTTAGTTTTTCACTTTATATAAGAGAAACATTGAAAAAAAAATCTCTTCACCCACATACCAATATATTTCTTTTACTTAACTAAAAAGAATCCCGCAAAAAACAACAAGAAGGAAAAAATTCAGAAAGAAATCTAAAATGAATTCGTTTTTTAATTCCGTCTGATAAGTCGCCGTTCATATGCGCATTTCCCACAGCAATTAAAATTAAAGAACACTAAATCCCAACAAACACAATATATAAATACTAAAGAAAGGAATAGAAAAAAATATAAGAAAAAGCATTTAACAGCACTTCATTGTATAGAAAAGGATCTGGGCCAGACAGCAAACAATACCAGAGTAAAAGTAGCCTTCTGCCTATTTTACACAAAACACATACAGAGCAGGGCAGAGTAGAGCTATGTTTTTTATATGTTGAAAGCACTACCCAAAAAGGACAAACTGAAAATTGCATTAGGCACACAATGTGTCCTTCACATACGGGTTCCGTTGTTCCGTTATATCAACAGTGAAACTGGTAAAAGGACACACAGCTACATTAAACAACAAACATATATAAACAAGAGTTCAAACTTGGTAACAAATACCCAAAAATAATCGTTAACAATGCCCAAATCCAAACTAACATTTAACAAGGATTTACGTATATTAAGGCTTAGTTCGTATTGAGAGTCCATGTAACAGGGCACAAGGACTACAGAACAACATTTGTGTATATTAAGTGTATTTGAAACTAACTGTGTTCTTATCAACGAAGGTAGTGTATAATTTTTTATATAAGCTTGTTTTTATAATTGCATAATAAAAGGATCAAGTATAAATCGATTTAGAAGAAATTATTTTCCATAAACTAATGCCGGCATATAAATTTATGTATCCTTTTATTCAGAAAATTTTATAAGAAAACGTATTTTCTTATAATAATAGAAGAGAGTTAACACACAATAGGTGCGAGCTTTATAAAGATAATATTTACACGTAAATGGTAGGAAATATTTACGTGACATTCTCATTTTTGAACTTTTACATTTTTATAGAAAAAAGAATATATTGACATAATATGATTTAATTACTTTTAGTAGTGTTTCGCAAAGCTGCAAACACTACTATTCGCCAGTCAGAAATTGCACAAGCCAGACTCTGAGAAGACTTTTCAAGGTACCATGGTACATTAGAATGACATTCTCAGGGACCTTAAGATTAATCCGATCAGAAAATGCATAAGTGATAGAGCTCTGAAATTATTTGCGAAAACTGACAGACTTACTAACATCGCGTTATCGAATCTCAGAATGATTACAGGCTCCTCGGGAAGATATGCAGATCTAAGGTCAATTATTGCTTAGTCTGATAAAGTGATAAGCATTAACATTAATCCAGTCAAGGCGTAAAGAGCGGTTTTGAAGATACCACGAGTTAATAAAAAGTGAAAGTGCTCAAGTGCATTAGCTTAAATAGCTTCAACATAAACCAAAACATTTTATTTATCCATTTTAAGCACAATAGTTAAATTTTTTAAGTTTAATTTATTTTGCCGAAAGTGACATGTCTTATGACGCAAGAAATTATCCAAAAGTTAGAAGGGTACGAATAGAAATGTAAAGACAACAACAAAAATTTTAGTTGATTTATTGAAGTTTGGCTGACCATACAACGCTGTTTGGAGTATTACCAAGTTGTCATCGACAATGATCTTTAGAAATATTCGAATTTATTTAATTAGTTTATAGTCCGTATATAATTTGTTTGGACTGCAAGTGCTAGGCTTAGAACTCATTCCTGTTAAATTAGAAGCGATGACTAATCATGTGGCCACGGCTGCACAAAGTTTTAATGATCAAATTCTAAGTTATTTTGTTATTTTTTTACAAACTATATACGAACTATAAACTAATTAAAAAATACCAATGTTTTCGAAAACTTGGCAATACTTGGTAAACTTGGGAAAACAGCGTTGTATGTTGAAACAAACTTCAATAAATTAAGTAAAATTTTTGTTGTTGCGTTATCATTCCTTTTCGAACCCTTCCACAATATCTAAAGTTAGTAACTGATTTGGGTATTGATTAAAATTTTTACGAGTTATTAAAAACATTGTGACATAAGAAGTCAATTTGGTGTGAAATTTACGATAATTGCTTCATTTTTTTAAAAAAATTTTTTCTCTATATAACTTTACTTAATACAGAAAGCCACATTTGCTTACCACTGCTATTATTATCTTTAAAAATTAATTACATTTTCTATATTTTTATCTTTTTTAAAAGAATTTGTATAATATCATACAGACTTGTTTACTAAATGTTTAACGATACGTGTTTAAAAACCACGTATCGTTTTTAAGTGAAGCTAATCTCATGCCTCATTAATTTTTCTTTACTTTGAGAGATGCGCCAAAATCCTTAAAGCATATTTTTCCTTTGGTGTGGCAGTTAGTCAGTGTGTTCGACTTCTCATAAAATATGAAATTTAATTTACTGATAACGTGCGCTGCTGTTTAACGCCTAATATCACAAGCCACTTAGCATTATCATAATAAATAATACACATAAGACGTTGATTTTGATAGAGTTTTAAGCAATGATAATGCCTCAAATATTGAGGCAATTTAATGAAAGGATCCATAAATAAGATATCCTTATAATTAAGCCGTATTGTTAATTCACATCCATCTAAGGCTTAGCAGAGCAGATACATAATTATAATATTCGCATTTACTTCAACTTAAATATGTTTCTTCTATATTTCATTTTTCAATTTATTTATTTTTGTAATTTGCAAAGTAAATGCCTTAATGACAGTCCGGAAATTAACTGTCAAAATTCATTCAATAAACATTTCTGCTAAAATGACAGTAATTAGTAGTCATTTTCGGGTTTTCTGTTTTTTTTTTCTTATTTTTGTTTTTTTTTTGCACTGTAGGCAAGGAAATTGTTTGTTTGTCTATCTGAAATAGAGTCCTCTTTGAATTTGTGGAAGTTGGAAAAATTTCACTAATATCTTAATATACTTACTTACGAGATAGCAACAATTGAGTAACTTTTTACTTCTGTTACGAATAATAATTTAAATAAATTTAAAATAAGTCTTAAGTAGGAAGCAAATTATTCAAGTGGTAATTGTTAAGAGCATTTCAGATATTTAAGAGAACATCCTGTTATCAATAATTTATATATAAACTTTACATTTAATGTAAGATGTTAAGTTCTCTATCTAAAGAAAATCTTATTTGAAATTTTGTTACAAATAAATTTACAAATTTTAGAAAGGAATAGCAATCCTATCAAGATCTATTAATCTTTAACATAAATCTATAGGCGTGTTACCTAATAAAAATAAAAAAACAATATTATTTTCTACTATACTAAAAACGTTTATTAGTTTATTTATCGTTTGAGAAACTTAAGTTTTCAGTAGATGTATATATTTTGACTATATTAAGAATTTCAAAAATAATTAAAACTAATTAATTAAGAAATATTAGCGTTATTATTTAATTAAATAGATATAACATTTCCTATAATTTTATAACCAATCTATAATAATCTTACAGAATCTTAATTTTTAATGAAGCACTTGCAATAGATATTTAACTATTTCATACTGTCAACTTAAATGCAAACAAACATATTTTTAAGGTACACAAAACAACATCGTTGTTGTTGCAATTCTGATTTATTTGTGTACATAGTTTTTGCATACGCATTGTTGTTTTTTGTGCTGTTGTACTCCATGTGAGTAAATTTGCTTACAACGTTGAGTTATATTCATTTACTTAGGAAGAGAATAGAAAAAATCTGCTCAATATATATAGAAAAAATTACAATTTTACAGGGTCCTCTAACCGTTATTATAAATTATTTATTATTAATATATAATAATATTAATATTATAAAATTATTAATATTGTTATTATTAAAATATTAATATTATTAACTTATATACATTTACTTACAAAGGAGAAGCCTCAGTGACGTATTCAGGAGTGCTTAAGAGAATAGGTCCCCACTTTCCAGAATCATCTGACTGTTATTATAATTAGTTTATTGAACTGTATAAGAATTTCAACAAATATTATTTTCTACAATATCGTCTCTTGTTGTCTTAACTTATTTAATGAGCTATAAAAAAAAACTTCAACTAAAAATAGTTTTTATTGAATGTCGATGGCCACTCAAATTTAATTAAATTGTAATATTTAACTTACATTAACAAATTTTGTTTCTCATTCGATATAAGAAGCCCACCTAGGGCTTTCATTTAAGCATTACGACCAGATAGATTCCTGGCGCGTGTCTTCAGGGTCCATTTTCTACAATACAATAACTGAATGCTACATTAGAGTAAGATGTTTGCAGTCTTGTAAGATGAAAATTTAATCTACAGTGACTTGTTAGAACTAATAATATAATTCCTAAGTTACTTTTACTTAGGTTCATACCATAGTTCTTAATCTAATTATCAACGATTTCGATTGTAATAGCTCTAGTAAGTTTCCCAATATGGGTATAAATTGTCTAATACATACGTATATGTACATAGGTTGTTATAATATAAGATAAATATAGATTACATCATCTGAGATATCTGAAAAATTGTTTTACGATCATTTCTAAAATTTCAAAGAACTATTAATTGTCTATTGGTACCAAAGAGTGACAGCACTCACAAAAAATCTCTGTTTCATCTTTTGAAAATTGTAAATTAAGTGTAATATATCTTTTACAGATAAAACGATAGACACTATCGTTAAGCCTATTTGTCCCATTATATTGGTGAAAAACGCGAAAAATAGTTTATTCTCCTTTACTAAGAGAGCACGCATATAAAAAGGACAAATATATTTCATTTGTGATGGTATTAAAGACTTTTTTATATCATTTAAGTCATATATTAATAAAAACACTACTATTATGTATAATAAATAATCTGTGTAACTTTATTTCCATATAGAACGTGAAGCAGCTATTAATGAACGAATTCGGAGGATACAAACTAATTCTTCTGAAGCCAGAACATAAATCTATTTAAGTAATACTTAATTTCTAAAATTTAAACAAAAATTAATTTTAAACTCTTCCTCTTCTAGAGTCTCCACAGCGTAATAACGCCGTGACCGAAGAAATACAAATATGCAGACCCAATATATCGTGTGCTTAATTTTAGGTGTCATCACCATCCTTTTTATGTTTTACATAAATAAAAAACTACACTCTGAACCAGTCGTAAAGAAAGCGCCGACTTTGTATGAAATGTTTTTGGGTAACCCAATTAACGTTTCTATTTGTGCTTTTATTTTATTAATTGTGATGGTCGGAATAAAAAAACTACGAAAGAGATATCTGCAAAAACTCAAGCGGAATTGGTTTATAACAACGGTCTCTGAGAGATTATTCACAGAAATAAGTGTGAACTATGTTAACAATATACGTGAGAAGGAAAGGGCTTACATAAACAAAATAATGTACACTGATCCGAATCTAACAAAGCTATTCACCAATGCAATGAAAGAGCTAATACCGTTGTACGATTTAAGCTCAGAAACACTTGTGGAAGAAAGCTTTTTCTTGAGCAGAATTTGTGAGCTCATCTTTATGAAAATCAGTGAAGCCCGCTTAAATGGTACTCTTGCAGTAGTGCCAGAGGCTCAGGATAATTGATTCAACGAAACAATTATTTTATATCATTTCAGTTTAGGATTTTGCGACACATAGTTTTAAAATCTAAATTTTTGTATGGTAAGTATTCACTCTTACAGTTTATTATGAATTCTTATAAATTTATTAATGCTCGATTTATAGGTTCAACGCAAATCTTTTCGCTGAAAATTCTAAATCTCAGTTAATCCCTATCTAAATCAATATACATTTATGGGGAAATATATATACAATCAATTTTGAGATATTTTATTTTGTTATTTAAATTTTTTAATAAAAAGTAAAACTAAGTTAATTTATATCATCTTAATAAGATCCACAAACGTATTATTCTTGAAGGCTTATCCCTTTCTTTCAGGTTATTTGATTTGACTTGGAAGTACTTAATAAACAAGTAAATGTTTAAATACCATTTAAAATATTACTACAGCTATATTAGAAGATATATATCGCTTAGAAGAAGAAAGGTAATTAAAATTCTTGAGTTTTGAAGATATTGAAGAAATTTGAGCAAGAACGTTCTTTAAGTCAGTCAGTGACTTTTCGAATTTTCCGCGCAGTTACTACAAATGCTGCCATCAGCTGTAACCTACCAGGGGCAACTTTTTAATTTAGAGCAAGCTACGTTGTTCAGTTGGTGTTTGATAGCCGTTCAAACCAGTTAACCTCGTGAATGTTTACGAAAATGAAAAAAAGTGAATTTCGTGTGCTGATTAACCATTACCAAATCCACGAATTGGGATACGAACTGCTTCCCCATTCAGCATATTCTCCAGATTTAGCCCCCTGTGACTATTTTCTGTTTCCAAACCTAAAGAAATGGCTGGGCGGTAAGAGATTTGAGTCGATTAAGAGGTCATTACCGAAACAAACGCATATTTCGAGAGCTTTGAGAAAACCTATTATTTAGAGGGAATAAGTAAATTAAAAAAACGCTTGACTAAATGTATCGAGCTAAAAGGTGAGTATGTAGAAAAATAAAATATTTATTTGTCAAAAAAAATTTGTTTTATTCAAAAAGTCACTGACTTATCAAACCGCCCTCGTACTATATGTAATGTAGCATTAGTTATTAGTTGTTTTTTTTTCCATTTCTATATCATTCTAATATTTACTTTCTTGAGGAGTGTAAAATAAAAGGAGATAGCATTATGCTCAATTAAATTTAGAGCCACCTTGACTTCACATATTTGCCATTTTTAAGAAAATGTTCTGGTGTTTTATACCCAGACCAATTTTTGTTGTAGCATCGTTGTAGAGTAAGCTAAAGAATAGGGTACCTATGTGCTTAAATCGAAATCTGGATAACTTCATTTTACATAACCATTGAAAGTAACATATCATATGATCTGTCTCTTCTTCATATGGTATCTCTGGCTGCAAGTCGACCCATAATGCAGTGTCCTGTAAGAACTGTTACTTATATCGTACTTCTGTTTAGGTAAGATTATATCAAATTATTAAAATCTATTGCTCAAAATAATAATCAGCCAATCTTATTGGCAGTACAGATTGTGAAACTGCACTTAATAGTGCAGTTATGAGCTTAAGGTTTTATAAGCTCAAAAAGTAGCACCAAGAAAATTCTGGTGTCTTTTCTTCGAACGCTGTCAGAGATGGTGCTGAGAAGAGATATAGAGCAAGATTTTAATTGTGACTGTTTTGTGATTGCCTATACTAGTAAATATGTACATACATACATATATATATCTTATATGTTATTTCGTGCAAACGATTACGTTTTGTTCGTTTGTTACAATCTTGTAATATAACAAAGGATTTATAAAATATTCTCTGCGGAGAAATTGGGACAGATTAATCAACCGAACAATATTGAATAGAAATATATAATTATTTTCTTGCATTCTAAAGCTAATCAAGTTAAAATACTGAGTTATAAATTAGTTGTACTGATTAGTATTTCCATTGAACACTGCTTTCTGTATAAGTAATAATTATTTATCCAACACTATTTCTCACTTATTATTAATTTATGTAATTAAATAATTTCCCTACAATCTGCAAAGCAATTAGAAATCCTAATTAAGCACACATTTTTTAAATCTCGTAGTTTTTCTTTAGAGATACAATCCATTGAGATTTCTATTTGCCAACAACAACTCAGGCAACAACAGCAACGGTATGAACAATTTGCATGCTGGCAACACCATTGAAGTTCAAGTAGAATCGCATTTGCAAATTGATTACAGTGCAAAATTCAGGAGTGCTGAAAATGTAATTTACATCAGCAACACTTGCATAATTCAGATTGTATTGTTGTTGTTGTGTTGTTTGTTGCAGCCTGTTTTTATGAGTATTTGTTATGGTTGAAGTTAGTATTGCTGCTGAACTGAAGCTGATGATGTTCTTGCTCCTACAGCTTCTGCTGCTGCTGCAGCTGCTACAGCTGCTACAGTTACTGCTGCTTCAGTCTATGGCAACAGTTTTAGATACAATAATGAGTGCATTGCAGCCAACACTGCAGCAGTGGAGCTGATGTTGATGACTATGTTGATGATATTGCTGTCGCCAATGGCTTGCATGTAGTCGTCTGTCGACAAGCATTTGAGTTAAGTAGCAAGGCTAGTCAGACATAAATGCACGTAGCCCTTTAGGAAGCTCCCGCTGAATTAACATGGACAGTAAGAGATGAGAATTGAAATTTGCTGTAATGGAGCGTACATGAGTAACAGTCGAAACTAGCAATTTACTGCAAAATGAAGTTGTTGTTGACAGCATCAAATGTGGCATCCCAGCTGCTAGTGCCCCACCAGCATTATGTTGTCGGCATCGGCAACAATGCTCACAGCAGATAACAGCCATGTAAGGATTTTGTCACGCGGCCTCTCATACCAATCTTTCCAAATGTAATTTCAATTTTTTACACTAAATGTATTAATGTTAAATTATGTACAAGTAAGTTGGTGCTGTTAGTGTTGCAGTTATTCTTGCCACAATGGCAGCACATGTTGTTGTTGCAATATGACCAACTGTTTTGTTTATTTCCGCATTTGTCATTGTTGTTGCCATTGCCGTTACCGTTGCCGTTCCCGTTCCCGTTGTCGTTGCCGTTGTCTTTTTCTAACCGTTGTTCAGACCATCGACATCCATGCTGTTCCTGATTATACTCTAGTTTTTGCACAGTGTGAATTGCGTGGGGTATTACAGCGTAGTGTCGCCCTATGCTGGCGACACCGATATGACCATTATCCATTGTCAGGGTTATCAACAGTGTGATAACTTTATGTTATCAATAAGTTTTTGTCGAGTGATTTGCATTAGACAGACTGACATTGTATTATTGCGTTTTTAACTACATGTATTAGAAATATCTTTATGAAAAACGCTAGTCTCTGTGGTAAGACAATTTTATTAAAATTAATTTTTTAATGTAAAGCAAAATTAGTTTTTCCTTCATAATGCTACAGACTAGACAAGCAACTATTAATCAAAAAAAATTAATTAAAAAAATTGAAGTGAAATATACTATAAAAGAACGATTAAGACAATATGGGCTTAAAAATTTGAGTGCAATTCAGCAGAGTATCTCTTATCTTAATCTTAAAATAACATAAATCTAAGGCCTAATCTATGATTTAATCCAATACAAGATTATCTTAATCTAAACTTAATATACCGGCATTATATTGAGGATATAGCCTTGTAGCTACAGAAATGGTTGGTTATAGGATCATTGTGTAGCCATTGCTTTAATTTCGAAGTTACAGTTTATTAGGTTTCTTAGTCGAAGTAGTATCTGGAGGTCTGGATACAAGATTAAAATTAATGTTTGTTTTGGAAACTTATAGTTGTTTGAATAAGAATATATAACTAAACAATAACTCCCACCGTTTCAACATAAGATCTATATATGAATATACATTTATATTAATACATTATAGTAATTAATGCTATAATGTATTTAACCAGGAACTTACAACAGTTGTCACAGCATACAACTCGGTCATCGTGACTTTTCAGAACAGCATTGGGCAGTAATCTAATATATGGGCTACAATCAGCTCCGAGTGTACATATAGCATTTTCTAGACTACTTTTTGTCATTGACTGGTTCTTACTGTTAATATGCCTAGAATATTTGAACTTAACCATGACCTTAACCACAGCAAGCTTTAATTGGTTAAATTTTTTATATTAAACATGTTCGATTGGCTAAAGCCAATATAATGTGATGTTTGAATGGTAAGTGACCTAGTCTAATTCACGAAGCAACACTTTTCTATTCCTTATTTTGTGAGAGCATATAGCATGACAGCCAATCTAGTGGTATAGACTTTAGAGAATATTATGAGACCATGTCATAAACAATTAAATAATGAATAAAAATACAAACAAAAATTTAAAATGGTTTTTTAAATACATATAATATTATTTAGAAAAACGAAAAATTATTTCCTTTTGAGGGAGCAAGGAAGCATTTCAGTCTGTTTGATAGCATTATTAAAACGTCAAAGGATTTAAGTGACGTTTAAAGCACGTGTACTTTTCTACTGAAGTAGGAAGCATCTTTTGAAAAGTTACTTTGATCTTTTAAAATCCAAAATGCACATTCTATTTTCCCAAGCGTTAGCTAATAAAAATATAATTTTTACTCAAAACATTTTGCCTAATCTAATACACTACAGCAGCAAACAAAAATGCGAATAATGTCTTTAATGCACACTTGAGAGATACCAGAGCCCACTTCATAAAAGGATGAATTTATTCTTGTTTTATTGAATCAATGGAAACGTCATTAGCCTACGATTATGATGCTGTGGAACTGTTGTGCGTGTGGTGTTTGTTAAAAAACTCAACTTCAAAAGTACCAAACAACACAGTTACATCTGCAACGCAATTATATGACATCATATGGACTGAAAGGATGCTGTGTGGGTAGAAGAGTAAGCGAAGAGTATGCCAAACAAAAGTCGCTTTACAATCTTGTCAAAGGCACCACACACTTTGGTGTTGTGAACATATGAAGACACAACAAGCGGTAAGTATTTGTACGAGTATCTTTTCCGCACTTTAGGTATGATCTATCAAAAGTTGCAGTTACCGCAGCACTGGCAACATTATCAATATAAATAGCAACAGCAACATCATTCATCAGTTTCTGCGCTTTGATTTCAATATTAAGTGGTGACACACACGACTCTGGCAATCATTGGACTTGTTGGCGTATTTGTTCGTATTTTTGTAGCTGTCAAGTTCATAACGGGGGTAGT